ACAATTAAATTGATCATTCTCACCACTCTGTTAATTCTATAAATACAAGAAGTATAATTATTTTCAAACCTATTACGTTTGTATTAATTAACAAATGAAATTGTTCTAATTTTACAGATCGAGCCATTGTCTGAGCACATGTTCAGGCTGGACGCAGAAAGATGGAGGCCGCTGAGGGTCAAACTTTCGCCCTTCTTTTCGTCGGGAAAGCTAAAGGAGATGTTCAGCCTGATAGTAGACTGTGCCAACACTTTCGATAATTATCTGGAGAAATTGGCTGAGAAGGGCGAGCCAGTCGAATTCCAAGAGACTGCTGCGAAATTCACCACCGATATGATCGCTGCTTGTGCCTTCAGCGTCCAGTCGAACGCGTTAACAGACGAGAATAGCCAGTTTCGCAGAATGGGAAAGAGAGCCCTCGATACGAATCTTGAACAATTCCTTACAGATAGATTGAGGGAGTATCCGTTCCTATTCAAAATTTTCGGCCGTTTGTTCACTGATCATGAAGTTACCAATTTCTTCGAGTCATCTATCAAGGAAGCAATGGATTACAGGATTCAGAACAACATTAACGTAAAGGACGTTATTGATATTCTAGCAGATTTTAGACAACACCCGGAGAAGCTCAACCTTAAAGGCAAGATTCTTTCTTCCCTTTGATAGAATCAACGTTTTTTGATTCTTAATTGAATTACCATTTTGATTTGGATCACACCGTTTTGGAATTTTTAATTTCATAGAGTGTAGCTATAAATATAAATGAAATAATATAAATTTTTGTAGTTTAATTGTATTTAAATTTTTTTTTAATTAATTGTTTTTTGTAATTTTTTAAATTAATTGTTTAATTGTAATTTAATTGTAATTAAATTACAGTTAAACAATTTAACAAAACAGTTAACTACAATTTAATTGTAATTAAATTACATATTTTTTAAATTAATTGTTTAATTGTAATTTAATTGTAAATTAGAAATTTTATTAGATCAAATATTTGAAATAATTGATTCATTTGAATAAAATAAGATGTTCTAAAAATGTCTAATAAAGTACATTATTTTCATTTATAGAGGCGGACAATTTGTTCTTGGCAGCTCAGGCCCAACTTTTCTTCAATGCTGGCTTCTTCAATTCCTCGTTGACCATCAGCAACGCTTTGTACGAACTTGCATGGAAGCCGGAAATTCAAGAGAAAACTCGAGAAGAAATCCAGACTGTCTTAAAGAAATATGATGGGAAGATCACATATGATTGCTTAACCGAAATGAAATATCTGGCTTCGCTTATGCTAGGTATAATCTTGCAACTTTTATTAAAATATTGTTTTTATCATATGATTTATCATTAATATTATACATTTACAAATATCTTTTTATAGTATCGTGTTATCTGAAAATCACATATTTATATTCTATATCTTAAATTTCATTTCAATTTATTCTACATTTTACATTCATTCACCACTGTCTAATTACAATAATTATTAGTTTCTATATCTTTTATTAAATTAAAATTGTGATCATTTGCAACTGTTCTTTTATTAGAAAATAAAATTTTGATTGTAGCGGGTTATAGTGTAAATTGTTTGACTTAAATGTACATCAAAGTCAAATTTCATTCATTTCATCAATTTATCTTGTCAAAGAAATGCATGATTCTTCTAATTAAGACGTATAGATTATTTTGCTTGTTTATAGCTTATTTAAGCTACAATTTTAATTTTTATAAGAACATTTATATTCTTACGTTTGAATATCTTTATATAGTTGTGTTTAAATAAACATCAGGATTAATTCTAATTTTCTCTTCAAATAATCATTTGAAAACGTAGATTCCTAAATTTAGCCTTTCTTCATCATACCTTTTTCCTTAGAAAAAGAAGAATATGACAAAGCTAATTTTTGCTAATGACTAATAGAGAAATCGTTTGATAGTTAAACATTGATTTTGTACTTAACATTAAGAAAATCGTGTGTGTGTGTGTTAAAAACAATGTAATAACACGAGCCTATTTTCTGTAGCGAAATTTATTTAATACATATTGTCAACATTAATATATTGTTCGTGTTCTTTATAGAAACTCTAAGAAAATATCCAATACTACAATGGCTGTCCAGAACGCCGATGGAACCGTACACATTCTCAGGAACGAAAGTTACTATACCAAAAGATCAACAGGTCTTCATACCTATCTACTCGATTCAAAGAGATCCAGAAATCTTTCCAAATCCAGAAGTGTTCGACCCTGACAGATTCTCTGAGGAAAATATCAAGACAAGACATTCAATGTCTCACTTACCATTCGGAGACGGTCCAAGACACTGTAGTGGTAAGTAAGACAAACTTTTATAAAATAATAATAATATTAACAATAGTAATATTATTCAGTCAGATACGAAGATAATAATCTAAATAGACATGATACAATGCTAATTACATTACGGCGAATGTATAACTTCATCAAAACATTATCTATATATTATTTTTGTTAAAGGATAGTTTTTTTCAAATATTTAATTTATTCACAATATTGTAAAAATATTATAACTCTATTAGCTGCTCTTTCTTTGAATGACGATTTACTATAGAAGAGGTCGCCATTATTTACGTGTATGTTTCCCAATTTTCAGTAGTAATACTAATAAAGTATTATTATAATATTAATAAATAAAATAATATAATAATATAATATATAATATAATAATAATATAATAAAATATAATATAAAATATAATAAAATATAATAAAATAATATAATATTAATATAATATTAGTAGTTATAATATAGATATAATAGTAATACTAATAAAATATAGATATAATATTTATAGTAATTCTAATAAAATATAAAATATCTTGAGTATAATATCAATCTTCTTTCCAGGTATAAGATTGGCCAAGGTACAGTTGAAAGTGGCGATGGTCACCATCTTGTCGAAATACAAGGTGGAAGTATGCGAAAAGACTCGCAAAGTATACAAAACTGACAAGAGACCGTTGTTCCTTCTTCAACCTGCTGATGGAATCTACCTGAAACTGACGAAACTTGCATCAGCCTGACAACATTATAATATTCTAACAATAATAATATTTTAATCTTCGATTTCTAATATTTGAATTTTCAATAACCAATAAATAGCAGCAATTATATCCTTTTTCCATACTTCTTTCTTCTACCTCTTTGTTTGCCAATAGCTATTTCTATTCTTTACTATACTATTATGAATGTGAAATTTTATAAGTTTATTTATGATATAATACTTGATGTTATTAAATGTATAATATTAAATTTGATTAATTTAAATAATAAGTTAATCTAAATAATAAGTCTAACTTAATATATACATATATCTATATATCTATATATCTATATATGCATTCTATCTAACTTGCGATTTTTTTAGATCATCATATATTTAATCAAAATAGTTTCCATAAGATTTCAAGTGTCGGAAATTTTTGATACATGAAATTATATAGAGATGACTGAACACGAAGCTGCGTCACCGAATCATCCAAACATAAATTCTAAGGTGAACTGTTCCTCATATTCCTTTTACTTCTCTTATTTCGTGGCCAATCTTTCTAGAGAAGAACAATATTCTTCTTTTCCCAAGCAACGTAATGCAATTTACTTTATGTTCCCAAATTTGTTAATTCTAAAATTCTTAATTCCCAACTCAAAATTGTAATTCAGAGTATTTTTTCAAATCTATTGTTTCTGATATATATTTCTAAATTCATATGTTTTTCGTTGTTATGTTTTTAATATAGATATTTGTAAATAAGCCTTTAGTTATACAAATTTTAAAAAATATTTGTCTTTTCTTTTTATTGAAAATGGCAGGGTTAGAATTATCTTGATGCAAAAATATTTTGAGCTATCCTCTTGAATAGAAGGATCTACAGTGAGATAGATTATAGGCATGCAGTTTGAGTTAAAATAAAATTAAAGAATATTTAGCTTCTATATAACATTTGTTAAAGAAGTACATAGTCATTTAAGTTAGATTAGTCAGTTTTCAAAACAGATTGAAAAAAAAACTCCATAAAAATATTATAATGTTACGAAATAATGTAATAATCTTACAATATTGTTATATTTGGAATGATCTATAGTTTATAGAATTATTTTTTGTAAAGAAAGAATTGTGTAACTTCTATTTTTTTTTCAGAATTGAATTTCTCAAAACCTGAGAATGATGGAGGAAAATAGTTTTTATATCTGTTTTTATTCAACGCACGAAAAACTACAAATGTAAACGTAACAGAAAAAAATTAGAACGTGAAAAAAAGGATAAAAATTTGTTGCACGGTGTTATCAAAAAAGTGACAAAACTACCGACAAAATTTTTATATATTTCTATGATTTCTAGACAACTGAATTTTTAAATAGTATCTACTTTTGAAGTTCTGCATATTACGCTATACAACAAAGGTAACAATGAGTGACAAAAAAAAAAATTATTTAAAAATATCTACGTAATATTGGTGTGAAAATCATTACTTTTATATTAGTATTTTTAGTAACTTTTATATTAAATATTTTATCACTATTAATAAGCATTATCTATTCAGCCTTCCTGTTAAATATAACTTCATTTTATAAAATTATAGATTATCTCGTATTATTTGCCATTTAAATTTTCTTCTATCAATCACTGTACATGCAATCTGTTTATTGAACTCTACCTAACTGTATCGTATCTTTGCAGGCTTTACCTTAAAAGCTGTCACACGAAAGTTAAACGAGCAGTCAACGATCTGGACGACTCATCGTGATCTCAATACTCACTCTGAATTTGATCTACTCGATTCCAAGAGTTCCCTTCAAGAACGAGGATTCTGCATCAGCAAATTTGAACTCCTCTGGCTTTGATGATTCAAGGATCTGCATCGGTAATGCCATCAAAAATCTAGGCGTCGAAAACATTGATATTTACAGAAATGTTATAGAAAGTTTCACAGATTGCTAATATTGCATTAAGTATTACGTATAAGTGTTAAAAAAATATCAAATTCAATTGTTCTTGTAACAACTTGTTAATTGGAAATGGCGGGTTAACTTATCATTGAGATTTTAATCTGTGAACATAATAATTTGTTTATTTGAGGATCTATTATTTTTGTAAGATATAGTATTCCATTTCTATTGAAAATGTATTTTATGTAATTACATTAACCGAGACTGAGATTGATCAAACCAGAATAAATTATAGGTATAATAGTTAATAATAATTTGTTTATTTGAGGATCTATTATTTTTGTAAGATATAGTATTCCATTTCTATTGAAAATGTATTTTATGTAATTACATTAACCGAGACTGAGATTTATCAAACCAGAATAAATTATAGGTATAATAATTAATAATAATTTGTTTATTTGAGGATCTATTATTTTTGTAAGATATAGTATTCCATTTCTATTGAAAATGTATTTTATGTAATTACATTAACCGAGACTGAGATTGATCAAACTAGAATAAATTATAGATATAATAATTAATAATAATTTGTTTATTTGAGGATCTATTATTTTTGTAAGA